ATCCTATTGCATCAACGATGTCGCAGGCCCTCTTCAACGAGATGCGCATGGGAAAGGAGGAGGGCGCCAAGCATTTGATGCATCCCGGTCTCGGGATCTTGTGGACAGAACACAGTGAGAGAGTCACTGTGCGCACTTGGGCGCAGGCGGCGAGGATCCCGGAGGACGTTCGCCGGATGATTGGCAGGTGGCGTCCGTCCGCCGACGAGTCCTATGAGCAGAACGTCAAGGTGAACGTGCTGCGCAGTCAGAGGGTCATGGCATTGTTCATCAAGGAGAACATGGCGAATTCGGACCCTTTCGATGAGACCACCGTTGTGCAACTGGTGGAACAGCGCATGCAGGGCATGGGTTGCAAGCAGGAAGATTGCGACGAGCAGATGATGCGCTTGATGACCTTCATGCCCGGACATGATGCAGCGAAGCCATGCCTGAAACCAAAGTGGACGATCACGGGACCCGTGGTTCTGGAGGTCGAGGGAGAGGGCATGGTTGAGATCAAGACTGAAGGAGCTGAGCCCGGAGAGGCGAGCGATGAGCATGAGGAGATCGAGACGGACCAGCCGGGGGTGCTCCCCTTGGAGAAGGTGGCAGGGATGTTTGTCGTCTCGATAGTGGGCAGGTCAAAGACCAGGACCCTGCACCGGATAGGCGACTGCCATAGGCAGCCGGGGGTGCATTATGCACAATTCGAAGTGCTGGGACAAGATGCACCCAGCACGTCGGCCCACCATAGGGCATGTCGACAGTGCTTCAGATTTGGAGTTGCAGAGATGTCTGGGGCAGGAGCTCCCGGGGAGGAGGAATCCTCGGGAGAAGTCTCGTCGTCAGAGATGACAGAGACGGACGAGGAGGAAAGCGCGGGGTGAAGCTGCACAGGAGAGTTCATCCCGCGGGCGAATGAAGGCGTTCAGATACCGCGCGAGCGCTGGTGCGGCACAAATGACGCGAGAGCGCAAGGTCTCGGGTCGAGGGCGTGTGTCGTACTCGGGGGGTAGGACAAGTGGAGGTGTTAGATAGGGCACCTTCGAAGTAAGTTGAGAGGGTTCGCAGGAGAATGGGGGGCGAGAGAGCCGTCGTCGTGTCGGTCGCGTGCTGTTGGCAAGGCATAAAGGCATTTGAGGTTTAGAGTGAATTGCGTTCGCGGACATTCTCATGAGCAGTCATGTCTTGGAAAGCATACGCGGTCAGGTGAGAGGAGACGCATTGAATTCTCACATTTCCTTTTGGCCTAAGCAAAAGGGAAGGGGCTGTCGTTTGCGCGGCGCGCCGGTGCGAAGGGCCGTCGCGGGACAGCGGACATCATGGCCGGAATCGGTCATGATACCGATGAGCGGAGGCGCAATGCCATCGCGCTACTCGATGCGGACCTGCATGGCCTACTACAAGTGAAGGAGGTCGACGAGGTGACACAAGCCAAGCTGGCCGTGGCTAGAGTGCGAAGTGTGAGCAGGATGAGCACAATAGCAGACAACCGAGCGGCCATGAGGACTTTCTGTGCGGACGTCCTGGCCTTGGACGCCGCAAGGGACGTCGTGGAGATTGCGGCCTTGGTAGACACATGGGAGTCAGCAAATACAAGAGTGGCAGTCCGCAACAAAGCGGAGGCAGAGGCTGGCGTGGCCAGCATACCACGTGCGCTCAACAAGGTGGAGGTGCAGGATCTATTGGTCAAGTTTCAGACCGTGCACGGTGTCAAGCTAGAGGATCGCAATACACCGGCGTCCTCCACCCTTGAGCAGATCTTCGACCAAGTGGAGCAGGGGGAGCTAAAGAACATGAGCCTCGTGCAGTTCCTCAGCAGGGAGGACGCAGAGGCAGATATCTTGGGCGCCACGGTGGAGAGAGGCACGGGAACGCTCAAGATCAAGAAGGGTTTCGGGGAATGCCAAAAGCCTCGGAATCCAGAAGAGTTTCGCAAGCGCATGGCGGTGGTGGCAAACACGTACTTGCTCGCCCAGTTGAAGTACCCACAGAAAGCAAGCTTGCGAGATCTCCAACCACAACACTTCCTCAGGTACTTGGACTTGTTGTTAGGGGATCATGTCCTTGGCTTGAAGGCCAAAGGAAAGGATGGAGAAGTGGTGGCCACGCCTGAGTTTGACTTGGTCCTCTCCTATGACTTCCAAATCAGGCGCCAGATGGTCAAGCTGGTAAATGAAGGAGCAATACTGGCAGAAGCATTGAAGGAGGCAATGACAGACACCACTATCAAGGAGCGCTACTTCCTGACCCCGAATGTCTACTCACAGGTATCAAATACATCAAGCTCGGCGCGTGGAGACTACCAGCGGTCCAGAAGCCCAACGTGGAGAGGCTCATGGCAGAATGACAGCCATGAGCAGCCCAAAGGCAAAAGCAAGAAGGGCAAAGGAAAGGGCAAGGGCAAGAAGGGCCGCATGAATGATCGCACACCTGACGGGCGTCAAATTTGCTGGAAATGGAACAACCCTAGAGAGCGCTGCCGATTCCAGTGTGGACGACTGCATGTGTGTCAGATCTGCTTCGGCAGTCATCCCGCACATGCGTGCGATGGTTCGGGCAAGAAGGACACGGCCGGTTCAGCGGCCGACACCAACAAGTCTGCTTGAACAGAGGAGTCAATGGGGACAGCCTCAACCCCGTTGGCAACCAAGGGCACTACGAGAGGCATACGACTTTGCCGGGTTCTCTACCTCTTCAGCGGGGCACAGCGGAAGGCTTCAGTGGCCACTTTCCTGCAGGAGACGGAGGCAGAACACAGCATTCATTTTGAGCTGCATGAGATTGATATACAGAATTCGCCAGATTGGGATCTAGCTGACAGGTCCCTCCAACAGAAGCTGCTCACCGAACTCACAAAGGGGCTCTACCGTGTGGTCCTTATCACTCCCCCCTGCTCTACGTGGAGTCGAGTGCGGGGCGCCAATTGTCGGGGTCCTCCACCTATACGCTCCAGGGAGCATCCCTGGGGCTTTCCCTGGCTTTCAAAGCGCCATCAGAAAGACGCAGATCTGGGCAACGTCTTGATTCGGTTCATGCTGGATGTGCTTCGTACACTGGAGCAACATCCACGCTCTAGCGATGGCGACCTCGTGCACATATTTGCAGAGCATCCAGAAGACTTGGGCGCCATTTGGCGCGAAGAAGATGGAATGAAGATGGTTCCAGCCTCAATCTGGCAACTGCCCGAGCTCCAGCAGTTCGTGCGGGTAGGAAATCCGCTGGGACTGTTTACAGTCGTCTTCAATCAGTGCTGCTGGTCCGCCCCATATCGAAAACCTACCAGGCTGCTTAGCAACTTGCCAGCTTTGCAGCAATGGGGCCCATGCACTTGGGCCACGTTCGATGGGGAGGGTCGCTATTCGGGACCAGCAGTTGCGCTTTGTCGCTGCAAACCGGAAATCAGTCTCGCCCGTACTGCTGATGATGAATCCTTTCGCACAACAGCCACATCAATCTACCCAGAACCTATGGATTGGGCTATTGCTCAAGCTATTCTGCAGGCTCTTTGTCACCCTCCCTCTTCGCCTAAAGAGGGGGTTGCAGCGAAGAGAGATGGAGCCCAACTTTCTGACCGGGCTGGCAAGAAGAGTCGGAAGGATTGCAGTGCATCATTGAGCAAGGCAACATTGAGCAGTGCAGCATTGGGGGGCCGCAGTGGACAACAATGCAACATTGAACAGTGAGGTCGATACAGCATTGAGCAACAATGCAACATTGAGCAATGTGGCGGGTACAACATTGAGCAGTGGAGTCAGGGCGTTGTCGAGCAACAAAGCAACATTGAGCAGTCGTCGGTCGGGGTGCTGTCGTGAAGCTGAGGGCTTGAGCTCGACTGGCGCCGATCGTGGCAGGTCGGGTGTGGGCCCACCTATGCAGGTCAAATACAAGGGAGAGCTCAGATCCATCCATGATGGGGCTGGCTTGTGTTCGCCGGGGAGATGGCCGGTGGACAGGAGGACTGCACCTCGCACGGAGGAAGGCAGAGAGCTGGCTAGATGGTGCTTCAAGGCCTTCGAGGATTGGGTAGAGCTGGAGGGCGAAGAGAAAGCCAAGCGGCTGTTTTGGCAGACTGCAGCTGGCAAGACGGGGGGGCTCTCCCTTCGGCGGCGAGATCTATGGCTTCAGGGAGAGGCTTGACCTGTGGCTACGTGAGAGAGGAGAACGCCCGGACAGGAGGCCCAGTGATAGAGACACAGAGATCAACTTCAGGAGATTGATGGCGGTGGCCCGTGTGCTTGAGGATGAGGATGCCGAGTTCTTGGAGGAGGTGGCCGCGAAAGGTGTGCCTTTGGGAGTGGACGAAGACATGCCACGAAACCCGAAGGTGTATGAGGAGAAGGTCAAGTGGACGGTTGAGCAGACCGAGGACGACTTCCAGGATACGCTGGCGGACAACTATGAGTCGGCGGAGGAAAACTCTGTCGACATAGCACGGCAAGTGCGCGAGGAGGTTGAGAATGGCACCATACTGCGCTTGTCCGAAGAGGAGGCCCGGCGGAGGTTCAAGGGACGGCTTGCAGTGGCTGCTCTCGGGGCGGTGCCGAAGGAGCTGGGCACGACTCGGGTTCGCTTGATCCACGACGGCACCTACAGCGTGGACGTGAATCGCAGGATTCGGGTCCGTGACCGGATGCGCTTCCCGCTGATAGATGATGCTGCAGC